TCCAATTTAGCAAACTGTTGATGTCTTTGAAAGTAAAAAATAAGATGAGCTTTCTGTCTAAAAAGCGTTACTTTATTTTCTACTATGTGTCATAAAGCTCTTTAACTAGTGTTTTATATACAGCTGACAGATACCGCTTCTAAAATGCAGAGACTGTTTTACTAAAGAGTTCAGCAGCTGACATTGTCTCTTTCTACAAAATTGTCCAAATTTCTACCATGAGGACTGGCACGGAACTGACAAACTCTCTTACTACAGCCCCCCGTTACAGTCATGTGAAAAGTTTTTACAGGACACTTTGCAGTCCTAAATAAATGCACCCTTACTGCTTCCATAGGAAATTTGAGGGTAGAACATCACGGCATGCCGTGATTTTACAAAAGTTGCATCTAAACAAACAACAAGACTTCTAGCACAATGTCCTTTGGACGGATGTTTGGCCATGATGCATGGCAGCATGTCGCGCAAAAACCAACAAAAGCTTCATACCATTTATGAAGCACAGTGGGAGAGGGTGGATGACTTTGGCTTGTTTTGCACCCACAGAACCTTTGGAATCTTGATTGAAATCCTGTAGTGAGACCTTAAGAGGGCTGTGCAAGAATGAATTCCTGTAAACGTCAATGAATTAAGCAGGCCAAAATTCCTCCACAATGAAGTGTGAGACTAATAAACTCACACAGCAAATAATTACTTAAACCTATTGCTGCTAAAGGTGGGTCTAGATACTACTTAATCACGGGCTGTAGTTCATTTTTTACAGGACATCAAGGAGTCTGATGGAAACTCATTCACATGACCGTCACTGTACATTTAGTTCATAATTGGCAGCAAATGTAGAATAATGTAGTGATGAGTAGAGTTGATGCCATCATCTGTGCACTGTATACACATCTCTCTTGGAAAACACTGTTCAGCCCTTATCACATTTCCTGCATGTCACATCATCAGTCCCCGTCACTCCGGCTCAAACAGGAAGTGTTCTCTCCAGTCCAGCAGGTTGACTATCCCTAGATAAGCCTGGGAGACATCCTGCAGAATGGCAAGAAATTGAACAAAGTCAACATGACGAAGTGCGATAGCCATGACCTCAGATAGCGAACATGAGGCTTTCCAGAATCAACAATACTTCATTCTGCTGCCATTTGGATGTAGAACACTTTTTACATTAAGGAGCACAAAATGCTAGTTTTTGTTCTTGTAACATCAGGAGTTAAAAATACCTTTTACTTTCTTTAAAACAGAAATACACTTATGTAATTTGTTTGGGGACTGTGAAGGCAACTTTGTGTAACTTCTGGTTGTTTTTTTTTTATGTGTGTATGTGTGATTCACTCTTGTTTTCAGGAAAAAGCATCTTTTATGCGAACAGAAAATGTCTGTTATCTCCTCATTCTGCTGTTCTTATCAGACCCCTCATTCCCCCCATCTCCTTTTTTCAGTTTCCTCATCATTCTTCTTTCTTTCATCATTCATCTGTTTACCCAGAGTACTCGGCTCGTGTCCAAAGTGTCATCCCCAGCATGACCTCTTCTCAGTCTGAGCACCGTCGTTCTCACTCCCTCTCGGGTTGGTTCTCCCATCCTGTCTGAAGGAACACTTCAAAAAAAGGAAAAAGAAAGAAAGAAAAGGAGATCCTCTCTTCTTCTTCTTTTTTTGCAAGTGTTGCTTCAAACCGAGTCTGTGTCTGCTTTGCCTTTGACTGATGTGGGCTTTGGTTTGCATTTTTAACCATTTTTCTTGTTTAATACTAGACTGCCCCCATCTGCTCATTTTGTCTTTTTATTCCACTTCCTCCCTTTTATACGTTTCTCTGTCATCATCAGGTTTGAGGTGCATCATCATCAAACTAACCACTGATTCCTTTCTTCGTACACGCTCACACTTCATCTATATTTGTTCTGAGCTGCTGAGCTGTTTTCTTGTTCAAGGTTAGGGAATCGCCCCAACTGTGGTGTAAAAAGAAGGGGAAAAAAACCCTCAATTGGATAATGTTAAAGTTTCACAAGAACGACACAGGGGAAGCACAAAGGAGGCTCTGTCCCTTGCCAGGAGAGTGCATGTCACAAGATCCGTTTTGCCAAACTTGGGAAACAATACCGAGGCCAGGATACACTGGGCTCATTCAAGGCCGAGTTTTTTCTCTTGTGCTACTTTCAAGATTTACAAAGCCAGACAAAAGACACCGAATGTAAAAGAGGGACCACAGTCCTAGTTGGAAACATCACTAAAGTGCTATATGTCCCCTGAGAACTAGTGACCACAATGCAGACAGGATTGTTCTGTGTAAGGGGTCAGTCTGGCCTCTCCACCACAGACAGTAATATCCTTTGCAGTGATGCAACACCACATCACAGTTGAATGTTAAAATGATCGAGGATAGAACTGGATAATCTCTGAGATCATATTTACAGCCATGACATTTATATACAACAAACTCCCAGAACTATTCACGCAAATGTCACGCAAAAGTGCAGATCATTAAGACGGCTCAGTTCTCTTATTGATCTGAACACTTTCCCAGTAATACAGTCTGCTCAGTCTGGCCTTAAATGCCCTTTCTTAGTTGCAGGTGTGCACATATGGAAACGGCGTCTTTCACTTTAAAAGAAAAGAAAAAGCACGCCACAGGATCACCGATCAAGTTTGTTTTTCGAATCAATGCCATGATATAGTTGGACTTTCAAAAGCTCAGAAATAGGAGATGAGAGACAAAAAAATCAGTTCAAGGGATTACCAGCAGCCCCAGCTGGAAACTATTAGCTGTCGCTAAGGCAACGGCATGGTGTTTGACAGTGCTCCGCTGTAGAGCAGTGTATCATGGGTACATCTGGTTGTCAGTTTCCAGGCTCGGTGTGATGGTGTGTTTCTGTTCTGGGGGTGTAGACTGCATACTTTTAAAGCTGTCTGGATGAAGATTTTGGCCAGTGCTGAAATATCTGAGGCATTCCACCTACGCCGGCACCGATTTCTGCCTTTTAAAATTGATGAATGACTTAGATACATAAATTAATAACAGGAAAATGAAACACATGCATTTGGAAAGTTCTATTCAGTTTTGGTGATAACTCACAGGAAATTCTTTTTAACATCTCAGGTTTCGGTAAAAGCAGTGCCTGATAACTTTAATCCCGACTGTCTGACTGCTACATCTCCAACTTTTCTCCTAAGATATTTGGCCAAGTCTTTTTTTGTCTCACTTCAAAGTGGAGCCGAGTGAAGGGGATATCAATATTTTTAGGTTTCCACAACAGTCAGGCTTTCAAGATGTCCACAAAATCATCTGCCAGTGTTAGGATGAGAGAAGCGCTCGGTCACACCAGCGTTTCCCACAGAATCTGCAGCAGGGTGGTGCACACTTTCTTATAACAATTAAGGAATTCTATATGCTGTATATATACAGTCATTATTTTCTGTTGCAGCTTTTTGAGTGGACAGAGTCCAACTCAACCCTCTTGAATGACAGCTGGTAGGTTTTTTTTTTGCGTTGCAGTCTCTCTGAACCTGTTGTACACCTGCTGCAGGTTCTGGGTTCTGGTTAGCTCACACCCGATCTCCAGAGCAGAAGATGATCTGCCAGCAGCTGCAGTGTAAAATGGTCCAGAAAAGGATGGCTCCAGTGGCTGATAGAACATGTACATAGGCTGCGAATAGTTGGGGCTCGCTGGCTAGTGCTGACTTTAAAAACGTACCAAAAAAAAGGGACTAAACTTTATCTCCCTGTAAGGATATTCCACCTGTACATGGCATCTTTTCATTTAGGTCTGAATTAGAGGCATAAATAAACATAAAGGTAGAAGCAGGAGAAGAGTTGGTGACAAAATTTGAAACAAGATACTTGTTAAAAAGTGTAAACAGCCGCCTGAGAACAAGCACCATCACAGCATTTATAATCCGCCCACTCCCCTCTTTGTTTCTTAATGTTTTTTTCCTTCTTTTCACTTCCTCCCATTAACCTCCATCTAGTTTCAAAGCACTGGGCAGCCAGTGCTAATCTTTGGCACTGGCTTTTTCTGCTTTGGCCAGCATTTCAGGTATTGCTCCCTCAATCCTTTGAGTCAATGCTGCTGAATATTAGCATACAAAAGCCTCTTTACTCCAATCCTGTTTATTTTATGCTGCTAGCTTTTCTCTCTGCCTCTCAGTTCAAATGAGATTAGGAAAAATCAGCTTATTGGCTGCTCTGAAGTTCAGCCAAAACATTCAGTTTGCACCAGCACATCAAAGAGTTTGTAACAGAACATGTTGTCCTAGTATTAAAGAATTGTTGCATAGACGACGGGAGTATCATTCTGTGTGCCACATTTCCAACATGGTGTGGGTTTCTTCTGAATAACGCTGTTGACCTTCAGGCTTCTTCTTCTGATGAGCAGCTAATCCATTCTTAACTTATTTTTTTTGTATGTGCATGTTAAATTTGAAAGGACCACGGGCTCCTGCAATGCTTTGCCTGGTTTGATTGTCTGCAAAACACACACAGTGGCCTGTGCATTGAGCACTAGCGAGCGCTGACAACCATTAACATCCGGTGGCGGTGATGGAAGTGATGGAGTGAAGGCGGATAAAAGAGAAGCAGCAAGCTTTTGCCAAGTTGTAACACTCACTTGCTTTTCTTAGGCGTCCAGGCCCGAGTGTCATCCTTGGATGAGCCCACAGCTGCTCCCCGCCGTCGCATCACCAGCGAAGGCCAGAACCAGAACGGATCAGATGACAATACGTCTCCTGATGTCCCACTTCGCTCTCCTATTCGGTGTGTTTCACCAGAGTTTGTCAACGCCATAGCGATGAACCCCGGTGGACGGCCAAAGGAGGTAGAAAACGCACATTTTAGAACAGCTTTTCACATTTTCTCTGCACCAGCGATGGCAATTTCTGTTTTTCTTCTCATCTCATCTCTTTTCCTACTCCAGAAAAATATGCACAGCTATCGAGAGGCCTTTGAGGAGCTGGAAGGAGGTCACATCAGTCCTACACCCACAGTTGGTGGTGAGGTGTTTCCCCAAACCCCTGCCTTCCCCGTCTCACCGCAAACCCCTTACTTCAACCTATGTAAGTCCCCCCTCCGGCTGACAGAGGGCACTGTGGAGCTCAGGTGTAATTACTTTTTCAAGATTTATATCCTGGAATTTAACAAATTATTATTTTTAGCCTTTTTTAATCCAGCACTGAACCTGCATTCTTTCTGATGGCCAGCAGATGGCGACTCTCCTGGTCGCACAATGAACATATAGAATTCTGTGAGAGGATAACCCAGCTTAACACTCGATCTATGACCTCAGTTAACACTGGATTGTTTATCTTCCCCACCAACTGTTTCAAATCAAATTCAGTGGGACACGAGGTTTGTTTAGCAAAGTATGCTCAAAGTAAAAAAGATAATAAAACAGGATAAGCTTTATTAGTGTTGACAAATGAGTTTGTAACTTGGACAACAGAGTTTTTGACAAGAACTATGTAGACAAACCAGCATATAAGTTTGGAAGCATATCCACATACATCCATCTACCCCCTCTTAGTCTCTCACACACCCAACAAAAAAGGTCATGCATTACATAACCGTGTCTTAGCCAGCTCTGCCAATTACCTCATCCAGTTCTCTTGCGTATCTCCCCTTTGGGCACTCCCATAAAAGTTAGTTATAAAATGCAGACACTGTATTTTTAACACTTATTTTGTGGCAGAAGATATTTCCTTCCACTTAAACTAGGAACACTGCTCAGGAACACTTCTCAGTCACATGGAGCCGCACATTTTTTTCACAAAGCAAACCTAAATGTTTGCGAAACAGGGAGAAAAAGAATAGTTGGACTGGGTTTAAAAACATGACGATGGGCCAGAAAACCTTTTTTTTTTCTCCAGCTGTACACAAACTGGAGTTAACTGGTTACCAGTTAACTGAGAACAGTTTTGCAAGTCCTTTGCAAAACCGGTTGAAAGCGCATGGTTGGCTAAATGATGAGCGCACGTGACATTGGATTTATTTCCCACCAAGCTGTCTTCTGAGTAGTGTGTCTTCAAATCACCTGTCCCTCCCTCGCTCTAAAGACACACACACACCAAAACCACTGATTAAAGGTGACACATCAGGGTCTCAAGTACAAAGAATTGATTCGGATTCTTTGGTAAGTGGAGGATGCACGGCTCTACCGGAGTTCCACTGTCCCACAACGTCAGCCATAACGACCCCCTCGCCCCCATTACCCGCCATGTACTACAATCCTGCACCGCTTTGGCATGAGAACCACACGAGAGCAGCACTTACAGTTAAAACTCTACATATTAGGACATGCAGACTCAAACACACACACAGCACAGCCATTATCATGAACTTTTACACTCTCTAGAGCTGCTGCTCTCAGTGTATATTGTTCATTCGTGTTTGGGGTCATGTTGCTGCCTTATTTCACTGCATTGCCTCCCTTCCCCTGTCAGTCTTACCCAGCTAGAGTGTCTTGATCTGATAATTCTGTTATCTTGATTTTATTTTAATTTGGGCTGGAGGGGAAAAAAGAGAAGTGGGCATTGCAAAAAAACAGATGTAAGATAGATAATGTTTTGGAAAGAGTCAACAGAGTATTACATATTTGTTGTTAGAGTAACACAGGTCTAATGGCTAAAGCCTGAGAAGTAACATATTCCTCTTCTTATCTTTCCCTCCAGTGTCAGTACAGCAGAGACTGTCTAAGCTCGTGTTTTTACCCCGTTACTGGTCACATGCATGTTTTGCCCCTCCATCAGAGCATGAGGCATGGGCACATCCTTCTAAACACTGCACTCGTGTGTGCTAATTGATGGAAATGCAATACTGTGTCTTGACAGCTTTTCACCTGTTAATTTAGCATTAATAGGTTTAAACATTAAGTTAATTAGATTGCCTCATAATTTTCTAAAACCAGTGATGAGTTGGTGTTAAACTGTGTGAGCAGGTAGCAGCTGTCAAGAGGTCTGTAATGTACCATGGTGCGCGGTGATAAATGTCTGGTATCTCTTCAGGTCGCTCCCCTCCTGGCCTTGCCAAGACTCCACTGTCAGCCCTGGGTTTGAAGCCCCACAACCCCGCGGAAATCCTCCTCAATCAAACAGGCTCAGGTTGGTTGCAACACTTTCCAGATTCTGGTGATGCAAACACCTTCTGTTATCGATAAATGAGAGTCAAGTTGCCACTCCTTTCTAATGACGTCTATAAATACAACTGAAGATCATTATAAGCATACATTTTAGTTCAGATGAGCTGAGAAACAGAAATAAAAGGAGTTTGGTTAAAAATGACAAGACAACATTTAACTGCTGCTAATATTTCTTTCCCTAAAGACACCAAACACTAAATTTCCAACCCCCTTGATACAACGTCTTGGTTTTTTTTTTTGTTTTTTTTTAAAACAACATTTTGTTCTTTGGTTTATCCCAATGATGCTTCACAGATGATGAAAGCAGTGAGGGTGAGGAAGGTAAGAGCTCCAGTATAATGCCACATATCATCATTCACTTTAACCCTCTCCACCCCATTTTTCTCAACATATTTAGTCTTTTTCCGTCCACGTGTCACATTCGGCAAAGCCATTCCCATTTTTAGTTGCCATCAGAGTTAAGTAATAGTGTATGCTGCTTTTCGGAGTGGTCTTAAGTATCACTTTAGTGCTATTATTTGCATTTTATCACCCTTATGGACAATAATGAGGTACCCCACCCTGGAAAATCAGAAACCCAGTATAGAGCTTTTATTTATTTAGGCGTGTCTTTCATATGCAGCACCAAGAAGCTATGTGGAGTCTGTCGCCAAGTCAGCAGTGGCAGGAGGAGAGCCATGCACATCACATAGAAGCCTTACTCCGCTGGGAGATGCTACAGCCAAGCAGAGAAGTCCAAGTCCCACCACCACTCACACACTGAACCCACCTTTGTCCAGCAGCAGTCCCATACAGAGCTCACCGGGGTAAGATGGGCCTGTCTTATAAAGTTCTCCTTGAGTACTTGTACTCCTCCGTGAGAAGCTATACTGCATTATTACGCACGCTTATTTACTTCTCTCGCTTCTCTTTCAGCGATCACCCTGTAGCAGAGAGCAGCGTTAGCACTCCGTCCCAACCCACTACTGATTCCGGGTTCCGCTCCCAGCCTACAGAGAGTGCCTACCCCACTCCTACTCCATCATATCAAGCCTTGAATACCCCCACTTCATCCTACCTGGATTCTAGCTCTCCAACCTCCTCCTACCTTGGCACTGCAACACCCACACCACCTTACCTGGGTCCTAGCACCTTGTTAGGAAGCTATGCATCCTCAGATCCCCACCCGCCCAGTTCAGAACCAGTTCAGACCACACTCGGCCATGGAAGCCCCAGTAAACAGATCCAGACCAACATCATTGGCTCTACTAACAATCCCGTCCTCCAGCAGCGCCCCAGTAGTAATCAGGAAGTTCCCGTCATGAACCAGCAGACATCACCAGCTAACGGCTTTGAAGTGGGCGTGTCGGGTCTCAGCGGCAGTCCCGTCCTTGGTCATTGTCCATCTCAGGGAGCGCAGAGTAGTCCAGTCCTCAACAGGCAGGCTGCTATGGGGTCAGGGCCCCAGCAGAGCCCAGTCCTCAGCAGACAGCCGTCCCTCGGTCAGCCTATTCAGAGCAGCCCTGTGCTCAGCCGACAGCCATCGATCACACAGGCTCAAGGAAGTCCTGTGTTGGGCCGTCACCCCTCCATTTCTCAGATGTCCCAGAGAAGCCCCAGTTTAGACCGTCACCCCATGCACAGTGGTTACACGACACCAGATGAACGACATGGGAACCTGTCACGACAGAGCAGTTCTTCGGGCTACCAGGGACCACCAACTCCCTCATTCCCCATCTCACCTGCAGGCTACCAAGATGGAGGGATGATGGGGATGGGTTTAGGGTTCAGGCAGGGCAGTCCAGCCCCTGGATTCCAGCCCCAGCTTCCAGAGAAGAGGCGCATGTCAAGCGGCGATAGACCAAACGGAGCGCTGTCCTATGGCACGATGAACGGGAAGATGATGCCCACAATGAGTGGAGGAGGCAATCCCAGCTACTTCCACACCCTTTCTGACTTTTCAAGGTTCACTATGACTGGTAAGTAAATACAATTTATGGATTCTTACGGGGTTCAATTCCATACACTGTATATAGAAGTGCGGTGGAAAAGTTTCCAGACTCTGACCAGAAAAATGAAAATGACAAACCTGATTTAAACTGATCAACTGTGCAAAATTAGCATCTGAGGTAATATCTCAGTAAACTATGGATTTGCTTGCTTGATCTTGCTGGCAAGCTAGCCAGCTAACTCTAGAATTAAACAATTAGCACAGTTTCAAAGCACCACTATGGTGAAGTCAGGTTTTCAAAAACAGCAGTCCACAAATCAGCATTGATGTTTTGTTTTTTTTAAATGAGTTTCAAGTGTTTGGGGTGACATCCGTTTTATATCTTGGCCGATCCAGTTCACAATCAAGGCAAAGAGGATATATTTTTGTGATATCCTGTTACATCTTTGGATTTTTGTTGCAGATGGAAGCCCCGACAGCAGGCTGAACGTCAAGTTTGTTCAAGACACGTCCAAGTTCTGGTACAAACCTGACATTTCCAGAGAGCAAGGTAGGAAGTCAAAAGACCTCATTTAATATATTAATCAAATATAGATCCATCCAAGTGGGTGGATTTGTGTCATACTTTTAAACATTTAGACAAACATTAAGGAACAGAAGCAGCTGTCATCATTAGCAGCGTAACACATCAGCTGTGTTGTGAGCAGTACTTTTGCAAATGTTATTGTGGTGAACATACAGAGGATATTATAGAAATGACTTGGGCTGCATGGTTTAATTGAGTATTACTCTGAATCCTTTGAGTCGGACTAAAAGGAGTCTTTGTTGAAACTCAAGTCATTGTTCTGAATGTCAGCGATGTAAGTCACAGGACCCGGCAACGTCATCACTTTTGATAAATGCACGTACGCATTTGCACAATACTGACGATGCATGCAGCAGCATACACAAAACATTTCTGTCCTCGTGTGTTTTAGCTGTGAGGTCAGCAGCTAGTGACTGGCCTGTAATGGATTATATCATGTTAAACATAAGCACATGCTCAACTGCGATGACATCAGACACACGGAGAGTTTATACTTAGTGCAGTGCACTCCCAGAAAGAAAGCCACACCATATGCAGAGAATTAGGGAACATCTGCATGTGTTGCTCATCTCATCCATCTTCCTTGTTTAAACTGTCACATGTGGACAGGCCTGGGCATTGAACTAAACAGTGAAGTTAAAGCTCTAAAGCTCCTCTCTGTGAACAATGGAGTGTCTGAAGCAAAGTGTCATGTTAGAAGTTGTAGTTCTAATAAAATGCAGATCAACAGCAGGGTCAGGACTCATTTCATCCTACTCTTACTCATGCTTCACTTTTGACTTGATGCCACCTTCTTCCTTGGCTTACCTTCCTTCTTTAATGACTTTTCCGACCTCCAGATTCCATCACCTAAATTTAGCTGGTGGAATAATAAAGAGGTTTTTCCATTGTGGACACATTGTCCAATTTTTCTTTCCCTCAAATGCATTTCTTTTTGTTAAGTACTTATTGTAACAAATAAAGCTTCTAACCATAATTGTGTAACATGTGGTTTGTATACTGTAGTATGCAGTTTCGCCATGTTTTAACAACAACCTGCCAGCGGACTGCACACTAACAATGTAATCTAATACTGAGCTTTGTTACAACTTATTGACATAACCCAGAGGAAAGTGCATGTAATAGATAAATAACAAGACTAATGCCAGGTTCACTTAGTTCTGTATGACATTTAGGACTTTAAGATGGTCACCGTGTGGTATGAGGTGACTGTAGGCTCAAAGATTCTTGCCGACTTTGGCCAGGATACATACATTTCTACATAAACACAGAGCAGATCTGGCTTTGCTGCCTTTTGCCCCTATTTGATATAATCAGGAAGGAGGTGCCAGAGAATTACAACTAAAGACAAGAATTTAAACAAACACTAGATCATACTAAGAGGACAGATCTGGACTGCTTGTCCTTTGGCCGATGTATCATTTCATGCATTACACTGTACCCAAGACTACTAGCTTTTACTGATAGATGGCAACTGTTGATGGCCTCTCTTATCCATTATAGCCTAAATCTTTGGATTGGTGCTGCTTTACATCTTTGTTGTGTCATCTGAACCCAACAAAAGTAAAGAGTGACTGTTACTTCATCTGTGAGGCCATAATGAGGCACAGGCGAGTCGTTCTGTGGGCTGCTAGCAACAGCATGCTATCAGAAACGGACGGCCGAGGAGTTTTTACATTCGAGTTTTGGTTGTTGAGAAAGGCACAAATGAAATGTGGCTTGTTGATGTCAGATTAACAGTCAGTAGATGTTAGTCCCACACATGGGAAATTTGTTTAAAGATTTGTTAAAAGATCTTAATTTATCTTGAGGTGAGTGTTGGAACATCAATCCATCTAAGTCGGTGCATAAACCGACTCCGCAGCCCTGCTGCACCTGTGGCTTTTCATGTAGGTTATTGTATCACCTCCCAGATTCCTGATGTTCTAAAGTAAGTCAATGTTCTCTGTGTTCCAGCCATCAGCCTGCTGAAGGACAGGGAGCCCGGAGCCTTTGTTATCCGGGACAGTCACTCCTTCAAAGGAGCTTATGGCCTAGCCATGAAGGTGGCGTCTCCTCCACCCACTGTGCATCCGAACAAGAAAGGTAGGGGGAGGACGGTGGGCGGTACATCAAAGCAGTTACAAATGTGCCAAATACTCAGTACACACACTACGTCTGTGTTTAGTGCAGCCCTTCTTGTTTTGTTGGAGGCAGCATGAATGTTAGTACATTAATACCAAAGATATGAGGCGATGTCTGAATGTGATTCAGCTGGTGTATTACCCGCCTGGACTCACGCACTGCTTGGCTCTTTTGTTGCAGGTGACATCACCAATGAACTGGTGAGGCATTTCCTGATCGAGAGCAGCCCTAAAGGAGTGAAGCTGAAAGGTTGCCCCAACGAGCCTTACTTTGGTTAGTGGAAGCACTCTCGCTGCTGTCTTTCATTTCTAAAACATACACTAACAGCTTAGCAGTGACATAACGAGTCTGTAGGAAATGTCACGCACGAGCGCTTTCTCTCTTTTGTGTGTCAGTTAAAATCTGAGCCCCTTTCCAAGTTTGAAAACGTCTAATCCTGCTGTAATTATAGTATTGAGTGACGTGATCTCTCTCGTGTTCTCCCTTCTAATTACACTACACGGCTGTGTGTGCGCGCGTGTGTGTCTGCATGCACTAAAGGGGCAGGCCAACTTCTGTGAACTTTTGCCTTCGCGCTCCTCGTTTCTTCTCTTCCACTCTTGTCTTCAGCTTGTAACTCACTTTATCGCTCTTATTCTTTAGTGGAGTTTTTGCTTGTATTTCTTTAATTTCAACTAACACAGAAGCACAAAACTTGTTTTTCCTGTCATCTTTTTTAAAAAAAAAATATTTACTTCAGTGTGACATTACAGCCAACAATGAATGGTGGGGTTCAAGAGCCTTTTATTGAATACATCTAACAATTAAACCTGAGTCCTTTGAATCCCTCTTTCAGAGCTCGTGAAGTTTATCCATAATCCTGCACCATTTAAAAAAAGTAACATTAATAACTCCAATTAAAAGATTAGCTGTCATTGTGTAAGAAGTCAGGCGTACTACAGATTTAGTTAACGAGGGATCCATTATGATTAATTTAAAATCTAAATTTGTATTCTTCGACACTAATAGAGTCGTTTTCAGTAATCCTTGACCGTGATGCAGCCCCTCAGTTCATACACTCCCTAAAAGAAGCCTTTTAACTCCCTTCACCTCCCTTTAATTTGCTTTCATCAGATTGGCTGCCCAATGGAAACAGAAGGTTTGAAAAGCAGGTAAATAGGGCTTATCTATTGTAGAAAACCTGCAACAATAAGTCACTGTAAGAGTCAAAAGCTCATGTTTCAGACTGGTCAAAATGCTCAGGGGGAATTACCTCCACATACATTTACCTCTTTATTTATAATTTTAATATGGGTCTCCATAATAAAAGCCTAATGGCAGCAATCTTGTTAAACAATTAACCAGCTACAGGTCATGTACACCACGTGTCAAGATGGTCGTTATAACTGAAGAAAGCAACACTCCCAAACTGGAAGCTTCTGTGGAACCAGCTC